CACCTGATAAATTAAAATAATCTCAATAATTTAATTTTGAACAATTTATCATTTTCTTTCTTAGACCAAAAATTGGGTGATAAAAGTTTTAATCTTCATTTAGTTTGTCGTTTGTTTTGTTTATTTATTTTGGATATTTAAAATCCCCTGCAGTCCGAGAGTTAAATGTTCATTAAAATTGAAAGTTCATTGATATTTGAGAATGAGCGCTAAATGCCATTACCGTTATATTAATGGAAAACAACAACATATTGCAGCTTCTTTATTGTCCAGCAACAAAAGAAGAAGGTAGATTTCACTCTGACTGGATGGAGTTTAAAATGACGACCTGTCGCTGCACACTGCTGATCAGGCCATCAAACTGTCTTGGAAGATATCCGGTGGTGAAAACATGAAGTGCCAGCATTTACTAATGGATAATTAAGCTCATTTAAATAAATATTCATGCATCATCACTGAAAATTAACCACTGCTAACTTTTATTTTGTCCCGTATTTCATGTGTTCATGAAATACATATTTCATGAACACACGTGTAGCTCTCCTGCGTGAGAGCTACACGCAGGAAGGCTCAATTTTGTAATGTTTAAAAACTGTAAGCTTTTAAACATTGCAGTTTAAAAGCTGTAATGTTCAGCAGCTGTGGGAATAAATCTAGCTTTTCTATTTAACTGCATTTTGTAATGAACTTTGATTTTTTTTTTGAATAAAGATGGTGATGTTGTGAAACCAGTAAACAGCGCCTGATAATACCGACAGGATCTCATACTGTACACAAACAGGACATCTTTAAGATGCTTTAACAGACAGCAGGCATCGAATCCAAAGCGATATATTTATGTAAGATTTATTTATTTATTTATTAATTTAAGACCAAATTAATGGGAATTTGGTCTTAAATGAAGCTTGGAGAACAATAAACTGGAGATGTATAAAGTTAGCAGTAAAGGAAAAATTATTTTCATGCATTAAAAGCCACAAAATGCTTACATCAGCAATCACTTAGTGTGTGTAGATATTTTCTGATCTCAGAGGAATGTGATTAAAATGTGGAAATAATCTCCACAGCAGATGATGCCTGCTGGAAGAAATCCTGTGGTTCGTCCCAAACTGCCACATGTACAGAGAAAGGCAGAGGAAAAGTTGCTTCTGTTTGGCTCTATATTCTGCTACTGCAACAAAGCAGCAGCCAGTAAATGGAGGAGACCGGGGCTGCTGGCAGATTATTCTGCAGAAAAGACGAGCTGGATGTTTGTGAACAGCTTCAGGCTGGTGAGCTAAACACCAAACACTTTCTGAGCGTCTTCAATATGAATCTTGGTGTTTAAAATATGGTAACATTTCACTGAATAATGACTTCCTTTCCTCAACACATGAAGTTGATAGAGATTTTAGATTAGCAGCTCATTTCCATCGAGTCCGAAAGCTCTCCACTGCCTTCACAATGTTGAAATATTTGTAATAAAACTAATTGTTACAGCGCCAGAAGCCTTCAGTTCACTCCTCAGAAACTGTTTCTGTCATCTTAAATTAGGAATCGGGTCGAGATTAATCCTGGTTAACCTAACAGCTCTTCTGACGCTACGACCTGTGAAAGTGAAGCAGCTAACGGTGTTATGCCGAGAAATGCATGCCTGCCGAGAATTGCATCCCCTGTCGCGGGAGCGCGCATCGCTCTAAACTCTCGCATATTGATGAGTAAACGGGCTGAAATCCGACGAAGAGGAAACTTTTAAAGATATTCGTAACATTATCACGTTTCTTAATCATGTAAGCGCTAAAATTGTGGGTTTTATTTCGCAAATTAATTGAAATAAACACTGATTTTTTTCACGTTTACTGAGCCATATTTGTCGAACGTTCTTCAGTGTCTGATGAACAAGTTCTCCGCAGCTGCTTTGAAATTCCAAGATTTTTCTTTTAACACCATAATAGCTTAAAACTTTACAAAACCGAGGCCCAATCCCAATTACGTAGAACATTTTATATTACGCTTAGCTGTCTAGTGTATTAATGTAGGGGAGATGCATTTTCATTTCTGAGCCTGCTAATATTTGCATCCCCTGTCTATTGTCCTGTTCATATGAAACTTATAGTGGTAACTCAGGGAACAAGTGTCATTATGTAGAAAAAATGTAATTTCCAAGTTAGCAGGGGATGCAATTTTTGGCAATATGGATTTCTAGCTTGCCAAAATTTGCATCCCCCCTGTTTTCATCAAATATGATCCAATTGAGGTGAAACTCATACCAGCAGTTCTTACAACTACTCTGGTCATGTAGGACAAGTTATTTCACTCTTAACTCTTTATTTCTCAGAGTAGCAGGGGGTGCAACTTTTGGCAAAATGGATTTCTAGCTTGCCAAAATTTGCATCCCCCCCTGTTTTCATGAAATATTTTCGAAATGATATTAAATTAATTCCAGTAGTTCATAGAACTACTCTGGTCATGTAGAAAAGGTTATTTCACTCTTAACTCGTTATTTATCCAAGTTAGCAGGGGATGCAATTTTTGGCAAGCTGAAAATCCATATTGCCAAAAATTGCATCCCCCCTGTTTTCATCAAATATTTTTGAAATGACATTAAACTAATACCTGTAGTTCATAGAACTACTCTGGTCATGTAGAAAAACGTATTTCACTCTTAACTCTTTATTTCTCCAAATTAGCAGGGGATGCAATATTTGGCAATATGGATTTTCAGCTTGCCAAAAATTGTATCCCCTCTATTTTTATCAATATGATCCAATTGAGATGAAACTCATACCAGCAGTTCTTAGAGCTACTCTGGTGATGTAGAAAAAGTTATTTCACTCTCAACTCTGTGTTTCTCCAAGTTAACAGGGGGATGCATTTTCCGGCAATGTGGAATTTCAGGTTGCCAAAATCTGCATCCCGCTATTGTCATCAAATATTATTGAAAGCATCTGAGAATGTGCTCAAAATGAAAATTGTCAGAAAATGCATGTCCTGCAATTTGGAGAATTAGGATAGTAATGTGTTATATGAAATGTTCTAGACAATGACACGTATGCTCTGAGCTACTAGAGTGACTTTCAAATCTGTACGACACTTTTGAGCTGAAAAAAAGGGCATGCAAATATCGGCAGCTCATAATTTGCTATGCCAAAAAATGCATCCCCCCAAGCTTAAAAAAAAAAACAGTTATGAGTGAAATAGCTTTTTCTATATGATCACATTTGTTCCCTCAATTGCTGGTATGAGTTTCATATCAATAGGATAACATTTGAGGAAAAAAGAGAGGGAAAGCATATTTTGGCAGGTTGATAATAGGCTGTGCCATAAAACGCATCCCCCTGCTAACGTGTACAAATAAAAAATTAAGAGTGGAATAACATCTTCTGCATAAGAAGAATAGTTGTATGAGCTTCTGCTGTGAGTTCCATGTTATTAGCATAACATTTGAGAAAAATAGAGAGGACATGCAAATTTTGGCAGGAGCAAAATCCATATTGCCGGAAAATGCATCCCCCTGCTAACTTGGAGAAACACAAAGTTGAGAGTGAAATAACTTTTTCTACATCACCAGAGTAGCTCTAAGAACTGCTGGTATGAGTTTAATCTCAAATGGATCATATTTGATGAAAAACAGTGGGATGCAATTTTTGGCAAGCTGAAAATCCATATTGCCAAAATTGCATCCCCTGCTAACTCTGAAAAATAATGAGTTAAGAGTGAAATATTTTTTCTACATGACCAGAGTAGTTCTTTGAACTACAGGTATTAGTTTAATATCATTCTGAAAATATTTGATGAAAATAGAGGGGATGCAATTTTTGGCAAGCTGAAAATCCATATTGCCAAATATTGCATCCCCTGCTAACTCTGAGAAATAAAGAGTTAAGAGTGAAACAACTTTTCTACATAACCAGAGTAGTTCTATGAAACTACTGGTATGAGTTTCACCTCAATTGGATCATATTTGATAAAAATAGAGGGGATACAATTTTTGGCAAGCTAAAAATCCATATTGCCAAAAATTGCATCCCCTGCTAACTTGGATAAATAACGAGTTAAGAGTGAAATAACCTTTTCTACATGACCAGAGTAGTTCTATGAACTACTGGAATTAATTTAATATCATTTCGAAAATATTTCATGAAAACAGGGGGGGATGCAAATTTTGGCAAGCTAGAAATCCATTTTGCCAAAAGTTGCACCCCCTGCTAACTCTGAGAAATAAAGAGTTAAGAGTGAAATAACTTGTCCTACATGACCAGAGTAGTTGTAAGAACTGCTGGTATGAGTTTCACCTCAATTGGATCATATTTGATGAAAAACAGGGGGGATGCAAATTTTGGCAAGCTAGAAATCCATATTGCCAAAAATTGCATCCCTGCTAACTTGGAAATTACATTTTTTCTACATAATGACACTTGTTCCCTGAGTTACCACTATAAGTTTCATATGAACAGGACAATAGACAGGGGATGCAAATATTAGCAGGCTCAGAAATGAAAATGCATCTCCCCTACATTAATACACTAGACAGCTAAGCGTAATATAAAATGTTCTACGTAATTGGGATTGGGCCTCGGTTTTGTAAAGTTTTAAGCTATTATGGTGTTAAAAGAAAAATCTTGGAATTTCAAAGCAGCTGCGGAGAACTTGTTCATCAGACACTGAAGAACGTTCGACAAATGCTCAGTAAACGTGAAAAAAATCAGTGTTTATTTCAATTAATTTGCGAAATAAAACCCACAATTTTAGCGCTTACATGATTAAGAAACGTGATAATGTTACCAATATTTTTAAAAGTTTCCCTCTTCGGTCGGATTTCAGCCCGTTTACTCGTCAATATGCGAGAGTTTAGAGCGATGCGCGCTCCCCGCGACAGGATGCAATTCTCGGCAGGCATGCATTTCTCGGCATAACAACTGGTAACCTCAGTCCGGACCGTCTCCTGACTCCGGCTAACAGCGTTAGCTCACATGCTACAGCCAAACGAACCGCCTGCCACACGTTAAAAAGTTACTCACCGTTCGTGTACGTCTGTCCCGTCCCGGTCCCGTTCTGGGAGTTGAACCCGGCGGTTGACATGTTGAACAGACACCAGAATCTAATTCGGAGGTTCTCGGGTGACTGCTCTGAAAGCTAGCTGGCTAGCGCTGCCCGTCGCGGTAAACGCTCAGCCCTGTGGCTCTGACGGTGAAAGCTCACAGAAAGGAGCGAAGTCCGAGGCGGAAGTAATCTGCTGACTTAAAGCTGTTGATTGGGCGATATTTCACTGTCACTAAACCATGATTAGTACCCCAAGACCCGGTTCGACAACCCACAGGTTGGTCAACGACGGGCCTGCTCAGAGTAAATCTTCTCCCCTTTCACCGGAAGTTGGGATCACCCAGCGGATCAACGTAAAAAATGGTTGGGCATGCGCAGTATGTACACGTGGCATTTCCTCCTGTGCACAGGATTTTTTCAGAGTACCAGAAACAAAACGGACTGAGATTTCACTACATCAAACATCCATCCAAAACCTCAGGCCAGCTTCATAACCCTCATATATCAAGACTCAAAAACAGTTTACACCCTGAACTCTGACAAGCACCAATTATATTGAGGTCATGTGTGCATGGCTGTATACATAAAGTTAACTGATTTAATACTGTACATAACACCATATTTATGTTTATGTTGTATATACTTCTTACAATGTTTGCACTGTTTTGGAGCTGGCTTTGATCCCATAGTACATGTGTACAGTGGAAAACACATGGAAAGCCCGGCGTCTTTCTGCATGGAGTTTGCATGTTCTCCCTGTGCATGGTGGGTTCTTTCTGGGTACTCCTGCTTCCTCCCACAGTCAAAAGCATGACTGTTAATTGGTCTTCCTAAATTCTCCTTCTGTGTGTCCATGGTTGTTTGTCCTGTCTGTCTCTGTGATACACTGGCGACCTGTCCAGGTGACCCTGCCTTTCGCCCAAAACGTTGGCTGGAGCGGCAGCAGCACCCCTCATGACCCTGCTCGGTCAAAGGCGTATAGAAAATAGATGGATGGATGGATGGATGGATGGATGGATGGATGGATGGATGGATGGATGGATGGATGGATGGATGGATGGATGGATGGATGAAACTTGATGACTTTGGGCAGGAAGGCTCTCCTGTAGCTGTTTGTGTTACAGTGCATCTGAAGAGACCTCCGACTGAAGACACTGTTATTATAAAGCAGTTTTCGAGAATGTTTTTTTTTCAAGAAGTGATGTATTTCATAGACGTTTAAGAGATATAAATAATCTTTAAAAAAATAAACGCAATTAACCAAATGTAACAAATAAAATAATATAATTGTTATTTTTCAATTAATTATGAAATGTTATTAAATAAAGTAAATATATAACAATGGATCAACCACTTTTCAACAGACATGTACAGACAGTGCAAAAGGTTGCATCGACTGCATAATATGTATTAAAAACACATTTAAATAACAACAAAAACAGGTCAAACAAGAAATTAAATGCAAAAGAACAAAAACACCACAACAAAAGAGAAAGGCATTGCTTTGTGTGCATGTTCTGTCCTGCTAACTGAGGCAAACAATGTGTTGGATCTGTCATCACTGCTGGACAAATAAAGGGAAAATGAAAAATTCCTCCTATTGCATGAGTGATTCTTGAAGAGGCAAAGTTTATAATGGGTGTGGAAAACCAGGGAAATAGTGAATATTATGAAAATAAAATAACACAAGTTAGTGCCAGATATCTTTATTAAAATCAAGTAGAGGGCCACGTCAATGCAAAGATTTCTTAAGGGGTTGTGGGAACAATCAGTCTTTGCTTTTGGTGTTATTGATTAAAGAAAGTTAAATCCATTTCAGTCAGCAGCAAACGTCAGAATTATAGAACCTATATTGGATTTCCCAAATCAGAGTACCATTCCAACAATTCATATTAATTTCGCATTGGTGACATTAAAAAGTAAGAGTTAGTAGACAATTCAACAACTTAAAAAATATTTTCTATTGTTTTAGTTTCTTGTTTTGTTCAGTAACACATATATTATTGTTCTAATCTATTATAATACCACTCAATTATTTTTCCCTGTTTGGCAGCAAAAGTAAAATATGAGACAAAAGAATTAGAGCAAGAAGCTGTATATTCATAATTTTGTTGTTATTCTCAAAAAATGCTAACAATTATAAGCCATTTCTACACTGAAGATATTTTCTCACCTGCGTTAAATAGTTCCTCTTTTATGATGATCTCCAGAAATGAAAATGTTAATTATTAAAACAAAAATATTGCTTCCTATTAATAAGTTCTCAGTTTTTCATCTGCTTCATTCTCAGAACTGTTTGTTTTTTTTCTGCACACTTCTCACTGTTTCACCAGAGTTTTGATGTAGTCCTCACCTCATATAAATAGCAGAATAAGGCATTAAGAATTTTGTATTTCCCATCCATTAGTTTAAAAAAAATCTGCTTAAATAAAATACTTATTGTATTTGTTTTTCATTTATTTTATTAATTCAAGTTGTTTTATTTAGTTATAATTTCTGTTTTTTATTTGTTTGTTTTATTTAATTTTATATGTATTTTGATTAATTCTAATTAGTTTATTTATTTATTTTTATATTTTCTTGCTCCTTTCTTTGTTTTCTTTATTTCAATGTAATGACTATAAAATCATTAAAATCGTACAAATGTTACCCACCATATATTTTATTAAGCTTTTTAAATACAAAAGTTTCCCTTCTTGCTTAAATACAAGCTTAACCTTTTTAAAAAAATATATAATACTGTACTGGTAGCTAAACTAAACTAAACTAAACTAAACTAAACTAAACTAACTAAACTAAACTAAACTAAACTAAACTAAACTAAATATACCTATGCATTTAAAAAATGGATCGATATGAATTTTTGCATTATGTGAAGATTTAATGAGAATATCGGAACGTTTGGGTGTTGGTTTACCACAGTTCGCCTGCCGGAAGGCTGACGGTGAGACACCAGCAGGAAGCGGCTTGGGAGTAGCAGGACAGCCATTGCAGTGTCGTGGCTCAGTAACAAAATACGAAAGGGCTGAGGAAGACCTGGCAGCCGCTCGCCCTGTTCCCTTTGACCGACAGATTAATTTACATGACTGTTAGAGCATAGGCACTTGGTAAATAAATCTACATCTAAGCAACCGGTAAGTCGTTTTGATCATATTTCACAACAAAAACGGAGGTGAGCAGTCGGCTTTTTTAGCTTGTTTCCCCGGTAGCTAACGATGCTACATTAGCATTCCTCTTTTGCTTCGATTGAGCTTTTTTAAACATGTTATGAACTACCCATGTATTATTCTTAGCATAATAGCAGTTTTTAGTAATATTACATCGAGAAACACTATTGTTACCCCAAAACCTGCTTCGTTTAGGCAACCAGATAACTATTTGTCTAGCTAACTGCTAATTAGCTAGCCCGCTAGTAGCAACTCGGAACGACGTCCCCTACTGAATATGACACGTAGCTCGTTCTCAGGTCGTTAACTGATGTTGATCTAAAATATTTGTTTCCCATCATTTCAAATTAAACAAGAGCTATGACATTGTATTCTTTTTGAAATATGATATAGGCCCGATCTCACGTATCGTAAAATGTCGCTTCTTCTCATTTTAATGTTATGAAACCTTTTGAAGTGTGACAGCCCACAGCAGGTTTCACACGATCCCAGAGTAGCTGGTGGTTTTTATTTTGTTAGCAGAGACTGTTAACATTTACAAAGACTGGCTAACGTTAACATTGTTGTATAAAGTTAGGGGAGAAATATAATAACGCATGTTGATTAAATGTAGGAACAACAGATAATAATGCAAACACACTTCTAAAAAGTTGTATTTTTTGGTAGGATGGCATTGTAAAATTTTGTAATAAAATTTTTGATATTACACTGGCCTTCATAGTTTGTTATAATAGTAAACAACTGATCAAGTCCCTTAAAAGTATTTAATTTTTAAACCTAAACTGTGAAAATATTTGTATTCTCTGGTGATAATAATGTTATCATTAGGAGTTACAGCTAACCCCTGCTTTTCTTAATCTAATCAAGGTTTTTGATATTTGTTTGATTTACATTTAGGCTAAACTGAAAACTGTTGTAACTTTATCCTTTCCATAAAGAAGTAGCATTCGTAATCTCATCAGGTGATACTGGTTGTAATAACTGGGGTCAAAAGGTCAGATGAATTGAACCAACTATCTTTCCAGTATGGATTTCTCATTTCATTTATTTAAATTTACAAAGGCTGTCTGAAATGGGAAATTAATGAGGTGCAAATCTAGAAATAATTGTTGGTGGATATTAATCACATTTTATCAGATCATTATTTATATTAGTGAATAGTTCGACTTTTTCCAAGTTCACAGAAAATATTAACAGAACAATTAGTTCAGAGCCTCAGACCTGTGACACATTTCAGCTTGAGTAAAACGTAAGCAGGATATAGATAAATTGTCTGAGTAGCAGATTAGATTTATACTCTGAGTGAAGCTCTGGAGTTCGATGCTCTTAACTCTAGTTTTAAGAAATGTAGTTTTAAGAAAAGTCTCAACTTTAGTTAGTTTCCCTCTCTGGTGCATCAGACCACATGTCTGACATGCTGGTCTGACACTTGGCTGCTTTTTTTTTGTTTTTGTATTTGTCTGATCTTGACCTTTGCCTACCTTATACTTTAGCCCTGGAGTTGTTTGAACGTTGCATAATTAAGCCTGGAGGTTAGTACTGGCTTACCACGCTGTACGCTGCAGGATCAGTCGCTGATGATGATGATGGGGTTGGAAATCAGCAGTGAGCAATCCTTAACGAAGAAAATTTTAATTTCATAACTTCTTCTGACTTATGGTATTTAGTAACTAGTTACATTTACATAATTTCTTTTAAATGTATTTTTAAGAGTATTTTAACTATGTTAAGTATCTCTACTCTTACTTGAGTAAAATTTAAAAAAATTCTCACTGAATGAAAAACAAACATTTTAACCAAAGATTCACCAGACTCAGACTCACCCCTGCAGTTTCAGAAGTTTTATTGAAAGAAACTGATTTAGAAACATTTTATTTTGCCTGATTTTATAATTTTTTTTATTACTTGTATTTTGGCCCTTAAAATACCAAAATTTCTGCATAACATTATATTTTGGTCCATCTGCTGATGTAATTTCAGGGTTTCCCCAGGGCATTATAAGCCTGGCAACCCGCCAGGATTTACACTAGGCTAAGCGTAGCTTGTTTTAGTTTTTAGGAAAATAATAATAAAGAAATCCCACTTTTTGGTTATTTTTGTCATTATGGATTGCAAGGGTCTCTTTGCTTTGAGCGTTTCATTGGTAGAGAGGATTTATTCCTAA